CCGGCGTGCAGGGCGCACCCGACCTCGGGAGGGTGAATCTGGGGCAGGAGGGCCCGTGGCCTGGTGAGAGCTTCTGCTACAGACAAGGAAACGCAAGGCTGGCCCGACCGTCCATGGGCAGCGAGTAAAGCAGCCAGGCCCCTCCTGGCGCCGACATGGAAAGTCCTGCATCGGACCCGTCCCAGCAGCACCACTTAAACTTCAAGCGCTTTCCGGGTTGGCAGTGGCACTCGGATGAGGCCATTCTTACTAGACCAGGAGTCCCTGTCCCTCCAACGTGTACAAGGGGGCACACGGGCGAGACGGACAACCCTGGAAGCAGCGCAAGTTCAAAGACACACGGCCGTTTCCATGCAGGCATTCCAGCTCCCACGTCACAGAATGGCACACCTCCTCGGGGGCGCCCGGGGCTTCTCTGTCCGCCTCTGGAACCTCATCTCCGCTGTCAAAATCGAACTGTTCTCCCTCCTCCTCCTCCTCCTCCTCATTATTGTTCGTATCGTATTTTACCTCATTTCCTACAGTTTAACAGAAATGACAGTGTTAACAGGTATTCCCAGCAAAACCACTTCCACGTTCCGGACAGAGAAGGGCTGGGCGGCGAGGTGCCGGCCGCCCCTGTGCTGGGGGAGACCTTCGGGGTGGGCTGGGGGTCGGCGGCTCTGACTTCCTCATGGGCCCACAGCTCACCGTGGGAAAGGAAGGGGAGAAGAGCACTTTCCTCATCGGAGACCTTCCCCCACGGCCCGAGAGCCAGGGAAGCTCCGAGCCCAGCGGGCGCTGGGCCACAGGGTGGGGGCTGGGGGGGGGGGCCCTTAAGTCCCTGGTTCCCATTCCTGGGACACAAGGATCCTCGGGTGGAACCTGGGCCGCGAGCTTCGTCACCCCTGGCAGCTCTGTCCCAGGCTGCTCTTCTGGGAGGCTGGGAAGCTGGGAGGCCGGGAGTCTGGGAGGCCGGGAGGCCGGGAGGGCAAAGGCCTGCAGATGTGCGGCTTTTACAGCACAAACCACGGGTCCTGCGGACTAGGTGGCCGCAATCCCAAATCACAGAGCGGGGCTCTCTTTAAAAATTTGCAGGGGAAAAAAAGCATACCTGGAATTAAAAGGGTGTAAAATGGCATTGCAAACCTCTATGTTGACCTGTGTTTTGTGTATGTTACAGATAAAAATACTTAAAGACTGAATTTGTAAATATTTTCTTTAAAAAGAAATGTGTGAAGGGATCAAAAGGTACAAACTTCCAGCCCAGCCAGCATGGCCCAGTGGTTGAGCATCAACCTAGGAACCAGGAGGTCATGGGTTCGATTCCTGGTCAGGGCACAGGCCCGGGCTGCGGGCTCGATCCCCAGTAGGGGGCGTGCAGGAGGCAGCCGATCAGTGATTCTCTCATCACAGATGTTTCTCTCTCCCTCTCTCCCCCGTCCTCTCTCTGAAGTCAGTAAAATATATAAAAACAAACAGCAACAAGAGAAACCCCCCAGGCGGCGCTTCCTGCTGCTGCAGCTCGGGAAGGAGTGGCACATCCTAGCGGGTCTTTGGGAGGAAGCAGACACTTCCTTTCTCGGGGGAATGAGGAGAGAGGTCCAGAGTCCCGCCCCTTCCCTGCCGTCGGGAGGGGGCTTCGGGGACCCAGGGCAGCCTCCCCCCACCTGTCCGTGGCACACAGGGCCCGAGGGACATTCGAGACACGTTCCCCTAGCTTTTCCATGTTTTGAAACAACGACAAACAGTGAAATGGGATCCAGAAAAGGCTTCGGGAAAGTAAGTTTAACATGCCATCCCAATAAGCGTGTACGCGGAGGCCTTTCCCATGGCGAGCTGCCAGCCCTGCACCGTGTCCGTCCTTCCTCCGAGTCCCATCGCTCAGCACTTATCCTCCGGAAACCATCGGGAATCTTTACAGGACTGGAGTAGCAGGATAGTTTTTTGTTTTTTTTTTTTATAGAGAGAAAGGGAGAGGGATAGAGAGCCAGAAACAAACATCGATGAGAGAGATCGATCAGCTGCCTCCTGCACGCCCCCCGCTGGGGATGTGCCCGCAACCAAGGTACATGCCCTTGACCGGAATCGAACCCGGGACCCTTGAGTCCGCAGGCCGACGCTCTATCCACCGAGCCAAACCGGTTGGGCAGCAGGATAGTTTTGAAGAAACAACCGAGGTGTCTTATAATGAAAGGTCATTTTTCAGATTAGGACCCGCTTGTGCAATGAGACGCTACGGAACGATGAAGAGCTCTCAATAACATGGAGAGGCGCTCCTGACAAGTTAAGTGAACATAGTGTTTAAATGTGTCTCTTCACTCATTTACTAGAAGAGAACAGATGCGGGGAGGGAGTGGGGGCTGGGGCCGGGGTGCCCGCCATGGAAACCGGTCTGGTGATGACACGCAATCACCCTTGGGCCCGCGGTCCCCCTGCTGAAAGCCGGGGCTCAGACGGCCTCGCGTGCACCGTGCTCACAGGATGCCGAGGGGGATGCACCCGCGGCTCCGGGGCAGGTCAGCGGATAAACAGAACGAGCCCATCGCCCACGGAGTGTCCTCGGTCCTGCAGCGGGAGGAGACGCTGCCACCTGCGGCCACGCGAGGGGCCTGAGGCCACTGCCCAGCGAGAGGGCAGCGCAGAGGACCGACACCGAGATCCCACTCGGAGGTCCCTGCCCTGGAGCCGTTGATTCACAGAGCAAAGTCGGGGAGGGCTGGGGGGCGGGTGGAGTGAGTGTTGAGTGGGACGGCGTGTCAGTGTGGGAAGATGAGAGCGCTCTGGAGGTGGTGGTGACGGTGGTGAGGTGGTGGTGAGCGGGGCCACGTGGGGAGATGGTCAGCGCTGTGCTATGGACACTTAACCACGAGAAGGACCCCGCCCTCCGCGCACGCAGCCTGAAGTGCGACTGTCACGGTGGCCGCCTCTGCATGCTGCAGACACAGCGGAACCTCGGTTCTCGAACTTAACTCGTTCCAGAAGGCTGTTGGAAAACCGAATCATTGCCCCCATTAGAAATCACGGGAATTGAATTATTCCGTTCCAGACCCCCACGTGACCACCCGTTTTAACCTTCCTTATTTCCAGCACATGTCTCCTGTACTGTTTAATCGACAAATAAACACTTTAAAAACAGAAAGAACAGGAGAGCCCTAGTCGGTGTGGCTCAGTGGCTAGAGCGTCGGCCTGCGGACCAAAGGGTCCCGGATTCAATTCTGGTCATCCACCGAGCCAAACCGGTTGGGCAGCAGGATAGTTTTGAAGAAACAACCGAGGTGTCTTATAATGAAAGGTCATTTTTCAGATTAGGACCCGCTTGTGCAATGAGACGCTACGGAACGATGAAGAGCTCTCAATAACATGGAGAGGCGCTCCTGACAAGTTAAGTGAACATAGTGTTTAAATGTGTCTCTTCATGCTCATTTACTGGGAGGTAATGGGGAGGGTGTGGGGGCTGGGGCCGGGGTGCCCGCCATGGAAACCGGTCTGGTGATGACACGCAATCACCCTTGGGCCCGCGGTCCCCCTGCTGAAAGCCGGGGCTCAGACGGCCTCGCGTGCACCGTGCTCACAGGATGCCGAGGGGGATGCACCCGCGGCTCCGGGGCAGGTCAGCGGATAAACAGAACGAGCCCATCGCCCACGGAGTGTCCTCGGTCCTGCAGCGGGAGGAGACGCTGCCACCTGCGGCCACACGAGGGGCCTGAGGCCACTGCCCAGCGAGAGGGCAGCGCAGAGGACCGACACCGAGATCCCACTCGGAGGTCCCTGCCCTGGAGCCGTTGATTCACAGAGCAAAGTCGGGGAGGGCTGGGGGGCGGGTGGAGTGAGTGTTGAGTGGGACGGCGTGTCAGTGTGGGAAGATGAGAGCGCTCTGGAGGTGGTGGTGACGGTGGTGAGGTGGTGGTGAGCGGGGCCACGTGGGGAGATGGTCAGCGCTGTGCTATGGACACTTAACCACGAGAAGGACCCCGCCCTCCGCGCATGCAGCCTGAAGTGCGACTGTCATGGTGGCCGCCTCTGCATGCTGCAGACACAGCGGAACCTCGGTTCTCGAACTTAACTCGTTCCAGAAGGCTGTTGGAAAACCGAATCATTGCCCCCATTAGAAATCACGGGAATTGAATTATTCTGTTCCAGACCCCCACGTGACCCCCCGTTTTAACCTTCCTTATTTCCAGCACATGTCTCCTGTACTGTTTAATCGACAAATAAACACTTTAAAAACAGAAAGGACAGGAGAGCCCTAGTCGGTGTTGCTCAGTGGCTAGAGCGTCGGCCTGCGGACCAAAGGGTCCCGGATTCAATTCTGGTCAAGGGCACGTACCTGGGTTGCAGGCTCCTTCCTGGCCCAAGCCGGGGCCCCGGTCAGAGCTCAAGCAAGAGGCAACCAATCAATGTGTTTCTCTCACTTCGATGTTTCCCTCTCTCCTCCACTCTCCCTAAAAGTCAACGAAAAATATCCTCGGGTGAGGATTAATCAAAAAAAAAAACACAAAAACAAAAAGGACATGAGATGTAAATGAAAATTTAATCAAAGGAGAGGAAATATACAGTAAAAAATGAAAAATTAATAATAAGAGCAACAAAAGCCAAACAACATGAAAATGTTCACAGCACACGTTCCTGGGACATTAACCACGTGAGGTTTGGCGGAGAACTGACTCCACTCGCGCATTTCTCCTTTGCCGCCCGAGGGACAGGTGACTGATCACAAGGTGTCGGCAGGGAAGGGTGTCAGGCTGAGAGGCGAATGGCCGAGATGGGAGACGCTCGAGAGCCGAGGGAGACCATAATCGGCATTTTCTCTGTTTTTCTGCATTTCTCGAAGTTTCCACAACAAGCACATGTGTCCGCTTGTCCGTCTCCTCTTTGTGGAGATGCTCATGTTTAACTAAAACACAAAACCACCCGCTCCCCAGAAGCTGCAAGAGCAAGTCTGTTCCATGACCTCGAGTCCCAGCCGAGCCCGTAGGAAACAAGCCAGGTGAGGGCCCTGCCCCCACGCGGTCGCCGACTCGTGCACTCACCCACCGCCGAGTCCCCACGCAGGAGAGCGTGCCGTGGGGAGGCGTGTTGGGCTCCGGCACTAAGGAGTCACCTATTCACTGAATAAGCTGGTGAAGGAGCGCGAGAGCCATCCGTCTCCTGAGCGGAAGCACAGGCGTGTCCAGGACACCTCCCAGATCCACCGTCACCCCCTAAGTTCACGTTGCCGCACGGAAACGACGCCAACCGGCACCTTGGCGCGGCGACAGAAAAGAGCCCTGTCCTGAGGGTGGCCGGGCACCGGCTCAGACGTGGGCCTGACTCCGAGCCACACGGCTCCTTCTGTCGGCACTCGCCTCCCGAAGTCACAGCTCACACTGCTGAGCCTTAACGATTAGGTCACCACCCCACCAAGTGATTTCCAGAAACTGTTTCTGAGAAGAATAGAGCTTTGCAAGGTGAGCCACAAAACAAGCTCCTGAACACTTGGGAAGGGACGAAGCAAAGCGTGAACTTCCGGCCCGAAAACGCACGCTCCCCCATGAAGGGGACAGTGGTTGTGCCCAGTGTGCTCAGGCCTACGTGGTGACTCTCACCCCGCCCCCCACAAAACAGGAGGCAGCGCCTCTGTCGGTCACACAGGGAGAGGCATGAGCTGCTGAGGGTGCCCTGTTCGCCATGTGCCACGCAGCTCTCGGGTGAGACTGGCCTGCCAACTGCTCACTAGCCCTGCTCTGAGGGCGGCCGGGCACCGGCTCAGACGTGGGCCTGACTCCGAGCCACACGGCTCCTTCTGTCGGCACTCGCCTCCCGAAGTCACAGCTCACGCTGCTGAGCCTTAACGATTGGGTCACCACCCCCCCCAAGTGATTTCCAGGGAACTGTCTCTGAGAACAGAGCTTTGCAAGGTGAGGCACAAAACAAGCTCCTAACACTTGGGAAGGGACGAAGCAAAGCGTGAACTCCCGGCCCTAAAACGCACGCTCCCCCATGAAGGGGACAGTGGTTGTACCGAGTGTCCTCAGGCCTACAGGCCTACGTGGTGACTCTC